GTGTGTGTGTGTGATACATGCACGCCGGCCTTGTGTGTGTGTGTGTGAGATACATGCATGCCCGACGTGTGTGTGTGTGTAAGTGCACACCTGCCATGCATGTGTGTGTGAGTAAATGTGAGAGTGTGTAAGACATCAGAACTAGTTGGACGTAGATTTGGCAAAGGCACCTTTCCTGCCTGGATGCAGTTATTTGCCAGTGAGTTCTGCATTAAATGCTGGGGTTGCTGCTGCCATGCTGGGCTGAGTGAACCAGCGAATTTCTTGGTGGCCTGCCCCATGTGCCTGGCACAGGAGGGACTAGAAGTGTGCACAGTTATTTCTTCTATGACAATGTGAGCCCAAGACGGAGAGGCATGGAGGTTGATAAACACTGTTGTTAGTGGGTTTACATTTGGAAAAATCAACTCTGACCAAACCTTACTGCAAAAAAAGTGCCTAGTGAATCAAATGTCTAAATACGAAAAGAAAACACTAAAAAAGTGAGTAGAAAATATAAAACTTATGTGGAGGAATGGTAATTTTCTTAATTTCAAAATTATGAAAACTGCAAAAATGTCAACACTTTTGACTGGAGAAAAACTTAAAAAATGTTCAGTGATGAAAAAAATTCACAACTAAAGCCAAAATGAAAAGATGCTGATAGTAAAAGTCTGGTTATAGGTGCTACAGATGCCAGAGGCAGGGTGTGTGTGCCCATGACGTCTGAGCAGAGGGAGAGAAGGGCCCAGCTGCTCCCAGCTACAGAAACACTGCCCGTGAGCAGGAAAGAGCGAGAACAGCGCCGAGTATGCCGCCTACCTTGAGTGACGATAGAAACAGTGTTGACAAATTTGTGTTGGTAACTTTTCTGGGTATTCAAAAAATAGTTTTAAAATTTAGAGTCAATAAAATTCAGTCTTTTTGGTGTCCAGTTCCAGGACTTTTGACGAAGGCAGAGTCGTGTGACCACCCCCACAACCAAGATGCAGACCCGCAGCCTCCACTCTGCTCTCCACCTGCGATTTGCCTTTGCCAGGAATTGTTCTGACACAGCCTTTTGAGACTGGTCCTTTTATGTATGATAGAAAAACATCTGAGGGTCGCCATCCAATGCATGTCCACAGTTTACTTACTGAAGGGAAGGACATTTGGAGTGTTTTCAGGTTTTGGTGATTATGGACATAGCTGTTATAAACATTTGCATCCAAGTTTCTGTGTGAACGTAAGTTTTCACTTCTCTTGAAGCATGGGATTCCTGGGTCATATGGTGTGCTTTTAACTTTCCGAGACACTGCCAAGCTGTTTTCCACAGTGGCTGGTCAAGTTTTTCATTCCCACCTTAATGTATGAGGGTTCCAGTTGTTCTGTGTGCCTGTTACCACTTGATATTGTCAGGTGTTTTTTTTTTTTTTCTTTTTTTGCATTGGAATAGATGTGTCATTGTTTTAATTGGCATTTCCCCAAAGGGTAACAATGTTGGACATCTTTTCATGTGTTTATTTGCTGTTTATTTATGTCTTCTTCTGTTAAGTGTCTAAATTTTTTGCCCATTTTCCTTTTGGGTTTGTTTTCTTATTTAGTGTTAAGGGTTCTTTACGCAGTCTTTTGTCAGATGTGTAATATTCAAATGTTTTCTCTCTCTTTGTTTTCCCTTTTTATTCGCCTTGAGGGTGTCCCTTGTACAACGAAAGTTTTAGATTTTGATAAAGTGAATTTGGATTCATTTTCTTTTCTTCTCTTTCTTTTTCTTTTTTGAGATGGAGTCTCACGCGGTCACACAGGCTGGAGTGCAATGGTTCAATCTCTGCTGACTGCGACCTCTGCCTCCCGGGTTCAAGTGATTCTCTGGGGATTACAGGCGTGTGCCACCACACCCAGCTAATTTTGTATTTTTAGTACAGATGGATTTTTGCCATGTTGGCCAGGCTGGTCCTGAACTCCTGGCTTCAAGTGATCTGCCCACCCCGGCCTCCCAAAGTGCTGGGATTACAAGTGTGAGCCACTGTGCCTGGCTGATTTTTTTGATTCATTTTCAACTGCTGCACAGCTTTTTATTCTTGAGATAAGTCCCACTTGGTCATAATGTATCATTTATCTATTTTAATTTATCATAATGTATCATTTATTTATTTATCTGTATCCCAGACATTTTGATATGCTGTATTTTCATTTTTACTTCGTTCAAAAGGTTTTCTGATTTTCCCTGACACTTCACTTTTGACTCATGGATTATTTAGAGGTGAGTGTTTCAAATATTTGGGGGATTCATCAGACATTGTAGATTTATTGCAATATAAATTACATACCACAATTTGTCAGTTTTTTTGCTTATGGATTATGCTTTGGTGTCATACCTAACAAGTGTTTGCCTAATCCACGGTTACAGATATTTCTCTTGTATTTTATCCTAAAATTTCAATCTTTTTTTGTGTTAGCTTTTGTATAAAATGTGAATTATGAATCAAGTTTTATTTATTTGCATACAGACATACAGTTCTAGCACCATTTGTTGAAAAGACTGTCATTTTCCCACTGAGCCAACTTTCCACCTTTAAAAAAATCAATATGCTACAGTTATATGGGTCTACTTCCAGACTCAATATGTCTCCTTCACTTATGTGTTCATTCATTTACCAATACAGCAGGGCCTCAGTGCTGTAGCTTTATGGTAAATCTTGAAATCAGGCAGTGCAAGCCCTTTAGCTTTGCTGTCTTATTCAAATTTATTAGAATATCCTAGCTCCTTTGCCATTCCATAGAAATTTTAGAACCAGCTCACTGGTATCTATGGAAAACCCTGCTAGAATTTTGGGTGGGATTGTATTACATCTGCAGGTCAGTTTGGGGAGAACAGGCATCTTAACTGTCTGTGTCTTCCATATTGTCCAGTCGATGAAACTGCTGTGTTTATTTGGATATTTTTGATTTGTTTTATCAGGGGTTTATGGATTTCCATATTCAGGTCTTGCACATTTGCTGTCAGATTTATCCCTCATAGCTCATTTTTAAGTGCTATTGTAAATGGCACTGGAAGCAATTTCGTTGCTAGGATATAGAAGTAAAATGGCTTCTTGTGTTTTGGTCTTGCATTCTGTGAGCTTGCTAAACTCTGTTATTAATTCCAGGAGTTTTTCTGTAGATTCCTTGAGATTTCCTACTTAATTATTTGGTCTGGGAATAAAATGTTTTATTCCTTACTTTCCAATCTGTAAGTTTTAATTTTTTTCTCCCTGTTTTGTACTGTTTAGGACTTCTGTTAAGACTTTGACAACAAGTGATGAGAGTGGCTGTCCTTGCCCTGTTCCTTATTTTAGGTGGGAGCGTTCCGTCTTCCACCAGCAGGGAGATGTTGGCTGTAGATTTTTGTAGTTGCTCTTTGTCAGACTGAGTTCGTTCCCTTCTCTTACTTATTCAAAAAAGGACTTATTGCAGTATAAGTTACATACCATAAAACTCACCCATTTAAGTGTCCAATTCAATGCTTTTTAAAGTAAATGTATTGAGTTGTGCGTCTATTACCTCAATCCAGTTACAGAACATTGCCATCATACCTGTGTTATCTCTTAAGATAATACTGGAGTTGATTTGCTAATATTTTGTCAAAGATTCTTACATCTTTGTTCATCAGGGGTGATATCTTTTTTCCTTGTAATACTTTTGTCTGGTTTTAGTATTAGAGTAAGGATGGCTCATAAAATAGGTAAGAATTATTCTATCTTTTCACATTTTCTGGAAGACATTGTGTGAAATTGGTATTTCTTTCTTAAATATGTGATTAGAATTAACCAGTGAAATAATGTGGGCTGATTTTTGGAAGGTTTTTAGCTAAGCATTCATGTTTGTAATAGATATAGGACTACTCAGGAAATATGTTTTTCTTTAGTGACTTTTGGTAGTTGTTCCTGGTATTTCCTTATTATTTTTAAGTGTCTGTAGAGTCTGAAGTGATTTCATCTTCTTAATTTCTGATGTTGGTAATTTGTGTCTCCTCCCTTTTTTTTTTTTCTGTTCAACATTCTGGCTAAAGATATGTCCACTTCATTGATCTTCCTTAAGAACTGTATCAGTTTCATCAATTTTCTCTAGTCTCCTGTTTTCAGTTTTACAAATCTCTGCTCGTATGCTTATTATTTACTGTCTTGTACTTGCTCGTTTTTCTAGGTGTTTAAAGGAGGAAGTTATTGATTTGAGAAGTTTCTTCTTTTTGATTATAATTATTTAATGCTATGAATTTTCTACTAATCCTGCTTTATCTGTATCCCAGACATTTTGATATGCTGTATTTTCATTTTTACTTAGTTCAAAAGGTTTTCTGATTTTCCCTGACACTTCACTTTTGACCCATGGATTATTTGGAGGTGAGTGGTTTAATTTTCAAATACTTGGGGGATTCATCAGATATTGTTTTGTTATTGAGTTTAATTGTGATAGGATCAGAGAATACACTTTATACACCTGGCTGTCTGGTGTCACTGCTTTCTGTGGTGGTGGCACAGCTCAAGCCGACAGGCCCAGGTGGAGGGCAGAGACGCAGGGCTTCACTGATGCCGTGCTGCGAGCAGGTCAGACCACCTGCCTGATGGCTGGGTCTAGTCTCATCAGCAGCTACCAGTGTGGGAGGAAACCTATAGCCTCCACCCTCCCCATGTCTGGTGATGCTCAGGCTGAGAGGCAGAGCTGCTGATTCGCTCTGGAAAGACTGACTGTCCCCATTGGCCCAGGAGGTCCTTGGCTGCTCCCACCTCTGTATATGTGACTCTGGGCTGTGACCTCCGCCATTGCCCCAGCTAAGCAGCGAGAGCTTGCTGAAGTTCAGAAGGCTGTGGAACCATGAGGGCAGCTCTCTGGATCCTGGGACTTGGGCCCCTTATTCTCAATCTCTGGGCAGTCCCGATTGGTAAGTTTCTCCTTACTTCATCCATGGAACTCTTGGGAGGCAGCGGCTCTGTTGAGGCCCAGGCCCCGGGGCATGAGTGTGTTCTCTACTGGTGAATGTTTTATGACCCGCCGTCTGCCTGGGTCTCGCTCAGCCCAGAGTGGGTGGGACATGCTGGGCCAGCAAGGAGGTGGCTCCACATGGCCGGATCCTTGTGAGCTCAGGGCCCCCAGCCGCTAGCCCACTGCTCGGAACCCAGGGTGCAGGGCTGGTTCACACCCTGGACAGGCCCAATGTCTGGTCCCAATGACCCTGATCAAGAGTCCTGATGGGTCCTGTGGGGGCTGCTCCATCCATGTCCCCTGCAGCAGGGCTGGGATCCCGGGAAGGATGTGAGAGGGCTGGCTGCATCTGGCAGTGAGGTTGGGCATGGGGTCCCATGGAGATACAGCACCCAGTTGGGGACACTGCGGTCTGGGGCCATGTGGAAGGGCTGCTGGGTCAGGGGCAGGCAGCTGTAGAGACAGGGTCTAGCCAGAAGGAACAGCAGGAGAGGATGGAGGTGAGAGGGAGCCCTGGGGACCTGCACACGTGGGCACAGAGCCATGACAGGGTGGGCGTGTGAGTGAAGGGCTAGGTGGGAGGCAGGGGAGGGTGCCCTTGAGGCCCACGAACACTTCACTGGCAGGGTGGGCCCAGGCAGCAGTGTGGTCACAGCTGGGAACCCTGGGGTTGAAGGGATTTGCTTTTGTGTTAATGATCACAAGCACAAGGGCCAGAATTCTCTATAACAAGAAATAGCTTTAGAAAATATAAAATAAAAAGCTATTCACAGCCGGGCGGGATGGCTCATGCCTGTAATCCCAGCACTTTGGGAGGCCAAGACGAGTGGATCACATCACCTGAGGTCAGGAGTTCAAGACCAGCCCGGCCAAGATGGTGAAACCCAGTCTCTATTAAAAACACAAAAATTAGCCAGGCATGGTGGTGGGTGCCTATAATCCCAGCTACACGGGAGGCTGAGGCAGGAGAATCACTTTGAACCCTGGAGGTGGAGGTTGCAGTGAGCTGAGATCGTGCCATTGCACTCCAGCCTGGGTGACAGAGTAAGACTCTGTCTTAAAAAAAAAAAAAGATGGCAGACACCAGTACACATCCATGTCCTGAGAAGACACAGGTGGGGAGGGAGGTGAGGAGGATGGGGTGTGCAGGGACAGATGAAGACTGAGGCAGGGGATTTAAGCCTCCCCGGGAGGTGGGAGGGAAAGGTCTTCGTCTTGGACCAGGCGGGGTCCCCTCGCCACCGACTGCCATTTGGGAGGCTCTCTCCTGGGTGTGGAGGGTCCTCCAGGGGCCTGGAGACTGCTCTGGGGCCAAACAGCCCCACCCCCATGGACTTCCTCCTAGTGGTTGCTTCATTTCCCTCAGGTGAGAGTGAGGCAGGAGGGAAGGAAAGGGGCTATGTTGATGTAGGGGTGCAGAGGCCTGGAGAGGGCAGTTAGAGGTGTGTCCCTGGGGAGTGGGAGAGACGGTGCTGGGGCAGCTGAGATGCTCTGAGGCCGTGGGGGGTGAGCTCCTGGCTGGAAGCCGGTATGGGTCGGTAGGGGGGCTGGGTTTGGTTGTAGTGGGAGGCAGGCATGGGAGGTTTTCCTGGGTGCTCCGGGTTGCAGAGGACAGGAGGGAGGGGTGAGCAGCCCTGGACAAGGGGTGTGGACAGCCACATGGGTGGGGCAGGGGTGACAGGGGTGGGCTGGGGACCACAGGGCCTCCAGTGGAAGTGGGGGAATGATGCTTGGGAGGCAGAGGGCGGGTGGGAGCTGCGGACCCAGGAGGACAGGGGACTTCCATGCCTGGGGGTGGGGTCCTCCAGGATGTTGGGGCTCCAGAGGGCCGGGGAGGGGAGCAGCCCCAGGGAAGACACGTGGGGTGAGGGTTTCTGTGTGAGCCGCACCCATCGCCTCTCTGGGACTGCTTGGTGGGTGAGAGGAACCCGACTTGCTGCTGAGGCCTTGCAGGCCATTCACTGCTGCCCCCAGGGCTGCTGTGCTGCCACCCTCCTCCTGAGCCCCTGGTTGGTTCTGGCCCCTCTAACTGGACCTGTCTGTCTGAAGGTGGACCAGGTGCTCTCAGGCTGGCGTTCAGACCCAGCACATGCGACGGAGTGGTGCTGGTCCGACACCACGGGACGTGGGGACACGTGTGCAACCAGGATTGGACGCTGGCTGAGGCCTCTGTGGTGTGCAGGCAGCTGGGCTGCGGCCCTGCCGTGGGTGCCCCCAAGTACGTCCCGCTGCCTGGAGAGATGGCCTCGCCCTGGCTCCACAACGTGTCCTGCCAGGGCAATGAGCCCTCTCTCTGGGAGTGCAGGCTTGGTGCGTGGAGCCAGAGCCCGTGCCCCCACGCATGGGTGGCGGTCGCTCTGTGCTCCAGTAAGTAGGGTGGAATGAAGTGGTGGGGCTGGCGGGGGAGGAGGAGGAGGACAGGGAGGGTCTTGGAGGGGGGTGGGGGCGGGGGGTCTGGAGCTCTCTCTGGGCAGGGACTCCTTGCTGGGCACTGAAACCATCCTGACAGTAAAATTCAGCTCTGGAAAAACCACTGCCAGGGAGATGCAGAGAGTAAGGAAGCAGAGGGCAGCCTGGGCTTGGAGAGGTAGTGGCCGAGGTGAGGCCGGTGTCTACGGACACCCGAGGTCCACACAGGCAGCTGGTAGTGATTTCTTACACAGTGACAGAAAGGTACACACTTTCCCATCCAGGTCTGGCTAGAGGGTCCGCAGCTGTCCCTGGGCACTTTATGTGGCTATGAGAACCCCCTCATAGCGTCCTGTCTCTGAAGCTGAGCCACCTGGCCAGGACCTCCTACTATTTTGGGGCCTAGTATGAAGGGACCCTGCAGGGACCCTAGTTTCAGGAGACCCACAGCAGAGCATGAAGCTGGGCCCAGGGGCCTCTCTGAGCCCGCGCCCTGTGTGACGGCCTGGTCACCTGCCCCTGAAGCCGGCCCTGACTCAGCCCAGCACCGTCCTCCCTGAAAAAGGAGCTGCCTGGTCTCAGGCCTGGGGTGGACTGCCATGGCCAAATGGAAATGTCTGCAGTCACTCAGGCAGGCCCCAGGCTCCAAGCGAGCACGTGGCCAGCTGGGTCCACACCTTACGGCAGGCGGCCTGTGCTCCGCAGACGGCACTTTTCGGGAGCTTCGGCTGGTGCAGGGCCAGAGTCCCTGTGCAGGACTCCCCGAGATCAGAAACGTGAATGGGGTGGACCGCCTCTGTGGCCTGCATGTGGAGGAGGCCATGGTGTTCTGCCGGGAGCTGGGGTGTGGTCCTGTGCTCCAGGCCCCCCGCCGGGATGTGGGCGTGGTCAGAAAGTACCTGGCCTGCAAGGGTACCGAGCCCACCATCCGCAGCTGCAGACTGGACAACAATCTCCGCGGCGGCTGTGACCCGCAGCTGGACGCACAGGTGATCTGCTCAGGTGAGGCCGCCGCCCGACACTTCCAGCGACCCCTGGGTGATGCTGGGCCTGGACGGGCTGGGGCTGGACTTGGAGAGAGCAGGGGGAAGTGGGGTGGGTGTTCCCACAGATGGGCCCCCGTTCTGCCTGAGACATTGGGTGTCGACGTGGTGCATCTGCACGCTGGAGGGAAAGGGCCTCAGCTCTCGTGGCGGGTTCTCAGGAGAGTGGAGCTGAGTTTCTGGTGGCCCCACAGAGGAGTCCTGGCTCAGAACCCGCAGGCCATCTGGGGGTCCTGGCTGCTGGGGCAAGTGTGAGCTGTTTCAGCTGTGATCACTGCGTGTCTAACATGGATCTGGGGTGGGTAGAAGTCACTTCCTCCCAGCCCTGCCTCCGGTGTGTGTAAGCCTCCCTGGCCTCACAGCTCCTGGCCTTGTGAGTATGAGGGGCAGCTGAAATGAGGTGGATAGTCACCTGCTGCAGTGCCCCAGAGAGGGTGGTGCTCAGTGAACCAAGGGGTGCCTTGACCTGGCCTCTGGGATTGCAGAAGGTATGGATGTCATGACCAGGACACAGAGGCTGTGAAACACGTGGGCACCTGCAGAAGGTGACCCTGACCCTGACCTTGGTGATGCGGCTGAGGGCACCTCTCTGCTCTGGGTGCAGGATGGAAGGGCCTCTGGCTACAAGTTCCTCCCTGTGCTAGGCAGACCCTCTGCCTAGATGCAGACGGTTGTTCCTGGTGGAACCCTTCCACAGACTGAGGCTGGGGGCCAAGCTGTCACCCAAGGACACGTGTCTTCTGCCTGAGAGAATGTCTGCCCCCAGGACACACCGAAGCCCGGCTGGTGGGCGGCGAGCACCCCTGCGCCGGGCGCCTGGAGGTGCGGCTGGGCCTGACCTGGGGCACCGTCTGCGACGTGGACCTGGACCTGGCCATGGCCCATGTGGTGTGCCGAGAGCTGCAGTGTGGGATGGCCGTGTCCACACCTGGGGGCGCCCGCTTTGGCCGGGGATCCGAGCCGGTGTGGACGGAGGCCTTCCGCTGTGCAGGCAATGAATCGCTGCTGTTCCACTGCACACGGGGGAACGGGAGCCAGTGTGGGCCCGGCCACGAAGCGGGGCTCAGGTGCTCAGGTGAGGTCCTGTGTGGGCTCTGAGGGCTCAGCCCTGCCTTATTCTCTGCCAGATCCCTTTCTGCCCTAAAGGTGCCTCTGGCCAGTAGGTGTGGGTGCTTTTGATGTTTGCTTCTGTTGGTTGAAAGCAACAGAGGGAAGAGGCTGGTGTAGGGCAAAGTGCCCAGGCAGCAGCTCAGATCAGATTCTTCTGCAGAGCTGTGTAGGCTGCATGCTGACGCAGAGGAGGGCGGGACAGCTGGTGAGAGCGAGGCTGGGCTCTGTGCCCATCCCACTGGGTGTGAAGGAAGGAAATGACCACAGACAGCCATGTGCCGGGTCTGTGTCCCCCGCTACGCTGACCCCTCCTCTCCCCCAGAGTTCAGGCTGGTCAACGGCAGCAGCAGCTGTGAGGGCCGCGTGGAGCTCCAGGTGCAGAGGTCCTGGGCGCCCCTCTGTGCCACCCACTGGGACATAGCAGACGCCACCGTCCTCTGCCACCAGCTCAACTGTGGCAACGCGGTGGCCGCA